TCATAGTTAGAACACAAGGTCCCAACATATATTGCGCGATAAGAACAGGATGAGAAACTAACGGTGTAGATGCAGTTGCCAAAAAGAATGTATGTCTGTGTGTAGAACAAATGAAGTCTGTATCGCTTGAGATGTACCACCTGGATGTGTGTGTCAATAAAACGAGCCTGAGTTTGTGGAGAGAGCAGAATTCAGCAGTCGACCCCCTGACTCGCCGCTGGACTCTACCTGTGCACAGGCGAACTCGAGCAACGACTTTTGTCTTTTCTTTATACTTTGTGAAAGTTCTTGATCAACGAATCTGGGGTGGTAAAACCTTACCACAACATATCTCATGAAAGACCCTTACTAGTAGTAATGGGGAAAAGTTTACATTGGTTTCACTGAAAAGATGTAGTCAGTGAAAAGGAAATAGATCCAGCCAAACAGTCACAGAAAATCGTCTTCTCGACAATTTGCTTCATGTTTGTGCTTCTGGTGTGACTAGCATAAATGTGATATACAATGAATGTACAGTGGGTACGGAAAGTATTCAGATCCCTTTAAATTTGTCACTCTTTGTTTCATTGCAGCCATTTGCTAAAATCAAAAAAAGTTAATTTTATTTCTCATTAATGTACACTCAGCACCCCATCTTGACAGAAAAAAAACAGAAATGTAGAAATTTTTGCAAATTTATTAAAAAAGAAACACTGGTGGTCATAAGTATTCAGACCATTTGCTCAGTATTGAGTAGAAGCACCCTTTGGAGCTAGTACAGCCATGAGTCTTCTTGGGAATGATGCAACAAGTTTTTCACACCTGGATTTGGGGATCCTCTGCCATTCTTCCTTGCAGATCCTCTCCAGTTCCGTCAGGTTGGATGGTGAATGTTGGTGGACAGCCATTTTCAGGTCTCTCCAGAGATGCTCAATTGGGTTTAGACTTCCGTAGGGCCACTCTGTCATAACGCCCTGACTGGTGGAGGGCTGCAGTGCTGGTTGACTTTCTACAACTTTCTCCCATCCCCCGACTGCATCTCTGGCGCTCAGCCACAGTGATCTTTGGGTTCTTCTTTACTTCTCTCACCAAGGCTCTCCCCCAATTGCTCAGTTTGGCTGGACGGCCAGGTTTAGGAAGAGTTCTGGTCGTCCCAAACGTCTTCCATTTAAGGATTATGGAGGCCACTGTGCTCTTAGGAACCTTAAGTGCAGCAGATATTTTTTTGTAACCTTGGCCAGATCTGTGTGTTGCCACAATTATATCTCTCAGCTCTTCAGGCAGTTCCATTGACCTCATTTGCGCTGACATGCACAGTGATAATCAAACACAACTGGGCTCCAATGAAGGTGTAGAACCATCTCAAGGAGGATCAGAAGAAATGGACAACGTGAGTTAAATGAGTGTCACAGCAAAGGGTTTGAATACTTATGAGCATGTGATATTTCAGTTTTTCTTTTTTTATAAATTTGCAAACATTTCTACATTTCTGTTTTTTTTCTGTCAAGATGGGGTGCTGAGTGTACATTAACGAGAAATAAAATGAACTTTTTTGATTTTAGCAAATGGCTGTAATGAAACAAAGAGTGACAAATTTAAAGGGGTCTGAATATTTTCCATACCCACTGTATATAGTAATATAATTCACTTATATTTTAAGTCAGATCAGAAAGACAAATAGAATGTAACCATTTTAATGTCTAAAACCACACAGTAGTTTAGGTCTTTATTGAGCAGAGCATAAATTTGAGGGTTAAATATGATGCTTCTTCACAGTAATGTTTATATTCCGACCTAGCACAATTTCTTTGAGCTTGGATTTTTTTTTAGATAATATGACTATCTGACCAACCAAAAGAGACTTCAGAAGCTCAAGAATCTGATGAAAACATAAATACATAATCAAGCCCGGATAATATGCACTGAAGTAAAGGGGTCAGTTATTGGTCAGTGATGTGGCACTCTCTGGGGGTCCTGTTATAGGCTGGTAAAACTTGCACAGCCATTATCTATTTTAGGCATAATCCCCTGCAAACGGTCAACAGCAACTATATTTGTAATTCCAAATGTGTTTTTGACCACTATGTGTTTTGTAATGCTTGAATACCTCGAAGTTAATTCCATTACTCAAATTAAGCTCTGAAAGGCTCTGGCAGAACAAAGGTAAAATGTTCATAAACAAATAGGCTTACTGGTGGATTGTTGAGTGTCTGATTATTTTGATAGTGCTGTATCTGCAGCACATTTGTACTGCAGTTCTGGTGGCAATGCCTGTACATGGTTTTTAAATATAATTATTGCACTGTATAATTCATATTTTAATTTCTGTCTACAAAATCTGAAATACCTTGACTGTCAGGATGTTTTGTGTGACATTTGTTTGCCGAAATACTTAAAAAAACAAAATATCATTGTTTTCTTTACCTGATTGGAAATAAAAACTGCACATTGCATTCCTTACGAGTATTCAAGAAAATACTTCCAAAGTGAGTTAGAGACAAACTGAGTTTTAACCGTCAAGTTTATACATCTTTCAATGAGCATGACTGAATAATTCAAGATATGTTCAAAAGTACTGCTAATGCAGTAATATTTGATCACTGGTAAGTGGACACTCACATGCCCTGAAGACCAGTGTTTACAGTACATGCTGACTTAGTTTTGTGTAAAGCAGTGTTTATTTACAGTAAGCTTTTCCTGAGATGTAGTATAAAACTTTGAGCCTCTTCTTGTGTCAACAGTATACAGGAACACAGTTTAAATGTTGACATTCTGGAGGCAATTGTACTGCAATAACTGCAGTCTTCTAGTCTGGTTCTAAGCCCTTTGTCACTTCAGCACTGAAACAAAAATTTAAAAAGTATTTCGTTATCTGTTCTAGCCAATGGCTCTTGTGACCCTGCAGCCCTTATACCTTACACCTGCACAGATGGTCAGAATACACTTGCCTTGAACAGTGTGTTGGTATCAATTGTACTAATCTGAAATGGTTAAAATTCTACTTGAAGTAAGAGTTGATATCTTTTCTTCCACTCAAGTACCCTTTTCATGTTGAGTCCCCCAAGGCTCCATTCTTGGTCCTCTCTTTCTTTCTCTGTATCTGTCCCCCTGGGTGTGATTAGAGTTCCCAAAGGGTGTTAAAGCATTGATGTTTGGCATCAAACCTTTTGAAATGTAAAAATAACATAGATGTTATAACCTGACACAGTAGTATCAGCAACATGCCTCTTGACATTGGATTCCATCCCATTCCACCCAAAGAGTTGTTTCTCTGCCTTCATATCAGACAAAACCATAAAGCTGTGGAAAATTAGTGAGCGTGACAAGAGGCCAGAGGGCTACAATCTGAAGGAAGAAGACAGAAGATATAGAAATGCCAGTTCTGTCACATCACTGCGGGTTTGTACTGTGTTATACTTACACTTGTTTCTGCTCTGGATACTTTCCAAAAATGGGGAAAGTACAAAGATTTGTTTGCTTACAATAGGGCATTGATGACGTCTGATTTTTTTTTTCATTCTAACTAATCTGACAATAAAGTCAAAGTTGAGCGGATCGGTAATTTATGACGTCATCACATTGGCAGATACGCACTACACAGACACGTCCCACAGTGAGCAATCAGCTCTCTATTCTATTCTCTATTCTCGTAGCTTTTTCTAATGAAGGGAACACAGCAACAAGTTGTCTATCAGCTCCCAGTGAGAAGCCCATATATATATATATATATATATATATATATATATATATATACATATATATATGTATATATACACACACACACAGTGGATATAAAAAGTCTACACACCCTTGTTCAAAGCCAGGTTTTTGTGATGTAAAGAAAAGACACAACAATCTCCCGTCTCCTTCATATGTCTGGGCAGTGGGGAAGGGTGGCAAGACGGAAGCCTTATCTCTCAAAGAAAAACATCCAAGCCAGGCTACATTTTGCAGAAAGAC